CTTCATTATATGAATTTGTGACATGGTGATTTGTCCCACGTTTTAAACTGAAAATTACTCTACAAATATTATATAAGAAGAAGAATAGCAGGTATCACTAAGTATTTACTATGTACTAAACACTACTTTAAGGACTGTACATGTATTATTTCCTTTGATCTTCATGCTGATTGTATGATGTGTATTTATTATGTAGTGAAGTGAAGATTTAAAGCCAGAAAAATCAGAATACAGAGCTGACTTTCCTCACTACAAAGCTGTAGTTTGTTTTATGTTACATATTTATTAGAAGTCCTTAAATGTATTCAAGTTGGAAATTCTTAAGATATATTTAAATTGCTTTATCAAATGTAGAAACTTTCCTTGACTGTTTTGTGAAGTGTAAGTTTAAGAATAATGCATGCAAATTTCACTTAATGCCATATTTATATATTTTTATAAAAAATTCAAAGAACATATTCAATATGAACTTATATATTTACTTAAATCATCTTATAGATCATCATATTATTTAAATAATAGATATGTACTTCTAAATAAATTTGGAACTAGAAACTGCCTCAGACTAATGTTTCTCAAATTTGATCCATGAATTACCTGCATTAGATTATGAGGGTTATTAAATATGCAAATATCTGTACCTGTTATTTACTGAGTATTGAAACTTTAACTCAATAGTCAACGTTTTCTAACCTCACTGCCACCCAATTGATTCTGCTGCCACTCAGCTGATTCCGCTGCACTCTCCAGTTTAAGAACCAGCTTCTAAGTGATTATTTAATTAATCCTATGTATTCATTTTATTGATATGGCAACTGAGGCTCTCTTACACTTTTTTCCTTGGTTGTAAAATGTGTTTACAGTTATTTCACTAGTATACTATACTTATAAAGCTTATAAGGCTTTATAAATCAGTGCATTTTTAAACTGAAGGTGGGTAACTATCTTAATATCCAAATAGAGGTTTAAATCATTTCCCAATTTTTATATCCTAATTTCCTTATATTCTTCTCTGTCTAATAGAACAACTTTATTTGACTTATAGGGTAGTTTTCAAGTAAATCTTCAATTTGTTGTCATTTTCTCCAAAAACAGTTTATTAAAAAACTGCTATGAATTACACTGAAAAATCCAACACTAGAGAGTTTATGAGTAAAACTGTTCACAAACTTAGTTTTAATGACACATGTTAATAAATTATTTATGTATATCTTGCCCCTTCTTGAAGTTAGCATTAGTCACACTTGAATGGTAAAATACTATCCTTCTAAAGGTTTTCCTGGCTTAATGGTAAAAATATAGGCTTAGGGTCACAGAGCCCTTAATTGAATGTGCTTGTAGTCAGTTATTACTTGTGTGACTTTAGGCAAATCATGTGATTTAATTTGTAATTTCTTCATATCTAATAAAATGGGCATAATATAAAATGGGTATTACAAAGATTAAATGAGATGAGATACGAAATACCTTTTACATAATAGGAATTTGTTGTTACTGTTCACCCCTTCTCTCCCTCTTCCTTATATTTGTGTTTCACAGGTTAACTATTCTCTTTTGTACTGTATTTTAGCAAAGCTTCTGCAGTTCTGAATCCAAAAATCACCTTCCCTGACAGTCCCAGTGTTATCTCACCTTTTTCTCCCCTCTGTAAATTGGTATGTGGTGGGACACAAGGAGTTGAAAAGTCATTTTTGAGGGTGAAAATTTTAATTGGAGAGCATCCTGTTAGTTTTGCTTTCGTCTGTGTGTTGTAGCAATTACTGAATTTCTTTGTTTTAGGTTTTGTGCCCCCTTAGTATACCTTAATATATGGGCTTCTGAAGACTGAGATTTTGTTTTTGCCTTAGACATATTTAAAAGTAGCTCACCAGCAGCCTGTGTGGCCAGTTTGAGACTTATGTTTTGAATTTGTTTGTTTTTATAGGCTCCAAAACCAAGGAAGGTGTGGTTCACGGTGTGACAACAGGTAAGCTTTGTGGAACTTATATCCAGGGATGATATTGAAAATATCTAGCAAGCAGTGTAGCCCAGCACTGCTTATTCAGAATGTAATTGTCGACAACCACACTGCCCATAGAGGAGCATTCTAAGAGAACAGCAGCTTTGTTTAATCTTGATTCATTACTAAATAGTTTTAAATGGGTATTTGTTATAAATAAATAAAGCACAATGTATGTAACTGTCAAGAAGGAAGACTGAATTGACCAGTTTTATTGTTTAATTTTCATTGTAGTAGTTTAATTTATAGTAGCCTTTTAGTCTTCTGACCAACTTAATGTTCTGGCAAACTGACAGCATAGATACCATATAAGGATTATAATCCAAAGGATGAAAGTAAAATTTTCTGTAGAGTACGGTGAAATATCCTGACATTAAACTATACTAATTATAATATTTCCTTGATGGTTCAGAAGACATTTCAAGAAACACCCTTAGGATGATCAGTAAATTATTATTGTTTTTATCTTTATTTGGCCTAATTTCACCAAGAATTTGAATAGGTTTAGAAGAAGATTACAATAAATGAATAGCAAAAATGATGAAAATTATGGTGGTGATGATGAAGAAGAGGAGGAGGACAGTAATAGAAATAGAAAAATCTAGGGAGAATAAAAATTTAACACCCTTAAAAGCCCACAGACTTGCTGTAACTGAGTTTCTTGTTGCATGTACTCCAAGCTTCCTGACAGGTTTGGTGAAATGAGAGATAATAAAAAATGTAATTCCTATGATCAGAAGACAGTAAACATAATAGTGCTTCAGAAAGTAACATGCTCCTACATTGCTGAATTATAAAATAGAAATTGGAAAATCAAACAGGAATATTAATACAATGTTGTGGTAAAGACCATAAACACTGGAGCCAGACCTCTCTAGTTCAAATTTTTGCATGTCCCTTACTAGCTGTGTGATTTTTCTTCAAGCTTCATAACCTCTGTGTGATTTAGTTTCCTCCTCTGTAAAAGAATTAAGTGGATTAATATATATATAAGGTACCTAGAATACTGAAGGCAAATAGTTGCTATTACTTTACAGTGGATCTATCTTGAGAACATTTTTACAGCTAGTAGAGAAAAGCCTTTATGTGACTATTTTATGCATATTTTTATTTAAAAAGCTAGGATATAAAATTAAAACAGAACTGTTGAAACAGATTCTATCTAGAAGCTAAATTAAAATGTGCAGTTTACATTCGCTCTGTTGCAATCCTAGATGTATATAAACTGCCTTTTAGGGGCCTTTTGTACATGTGATATTATAAAGCCTGATTTCTATAAGAACTGGCTATCAGACAGTTGTAGACTATGCTGTTTGAAGAGGGCCTCCCTATATTAATGGTTTTCCATTTTGTAGTCGAAGGAGAATCCACGTAGTGAGAAAGCAGATAAGCATATTGCAAGTTTCAGAGCCTGTGGTAAAAATTAAAGAACATAACCAATACTGTCATCTAATAGAGGCCGTGGAGATGGGCTGCAAGGATAACTACTGACAAAGTCAGAATTTTTTTTGTCTTCTTCAGAATGACAGAATGCGAACATGGGTTTGAGGGGCTGAGAGTGATGCGTGTGTGTGTGTGTGTGCGTGCATGTATGCATGCATGTCCTGGTACAGGTGACTGAAGTTTGTACAATAAGCAATATTTTGCAAATTGTTTTCTGAAGAACAGTAGCCCACCAGCTAAAGTTTCCCTGGTTTTATAATGCTAGAAAACTTTGCAAATCATGTCTTCCTTTTAGCACATTAAGGAATCTGAGTTCTTCTCCATTTAATACATTTGCATTATTTTATTTAACCCAGGATTTTGCAAACTTATTTGACCTTTTTAAAATAGTTATTAGGATTGAATTAAACTAATGTTCCCCAGAGTACTATGGAAAAGCCACTAAGCAGGGAGACCATGATAATTTTGGTGTGGGCAATATATACAGCCATTGTCCCCATCAGCCACCCTTGCAGTAGTAAAGTATGAAAAATGTTGTCATAAATAGTCTGCCTATGAAAATTGCATTGGAATCAGTCAGCTGCAATAAGTATCATTCCTCTCTCATAACAGATAAATGAATTACTTAATTTGTTGGGTAGAGTTATTTAGTATAAAATTCTAGACTCAAATTATAAGGATAAATAGATAGTTTAAGGTAATTATCTCAGTGGTTAAGGAGAGAGAGAATTAGTTACTTATTATACTTGGTCTAAAATGTTTATTATAGGTACATAATAAATACTAAATAATTGTTATTATTGTCATTACTCTTAAATCAGGGAAGTGAGAAACTGTTATAAAGTATATAACATTATCAGCTAATGTTAAAAGAAAAAATTCTTAAGATTCATTTCATTAACTATTTTTGCAGAAGTATAGACATTAGTAAACTTAGTTAGGCCAGGAGTTTTATACCTACAATATGCAGGGAACATTAATTCTCCCAACTAGATAATCTCAAGATTAAAATCCAGGAAACCCTACCTTAATCCCTGGCTTTTTGATCTCAGGACATTATTATTTCAATTGTCAATGCATCACATTATAAGAAAATACAACAGTGTACTTAATCTGGACTTATTGAATGACATGTCTTTGAAGGTGCTTTAAAAAATGCATTTTGATATAAGCTTACGTATTTTTTCCCTCCAAAATGTATGACGTAAACAAATTCCTATTATTGGAGATCTTCTGCCGGCTTTGATTCTTATAAGCAGGAATTTATTATATGATAATGAACACAGTTAATTTTCATCCTGTAATAGTTTAAACTTCCTTGTTAAACTACTTTAAAATATAAATTTATTTTCCTCAAATCTGTCATTTGATACCAATTCTAAACCAGATCTTCCTAATTTTATAATTTTAAAGTCAAAGTTTAGATTTACTATATCTATTCTAAAAGTTGGTGCCACATTTCCTTTTTGGAATTTGATTGTTAATTAGACTGAAATATAAATCTAATTATTGAAGTTAATGTGTAAATTACACATATATACAAAATTTCTTTTAATGCATTCAAAATTATATCTACTGTGAAATAATATAAAGAAAAGTAAAACAGGATCTCTCATTCTAATGAACTCAAAACATACTGGTGGAGGTGGATAGACATACTTGGAAATGAATAACTATGGTGCAATGTAAAATGTTCAATAGTAAAGACGTACCTAAAATGTTATGGCATCACAGGTGGAGGAAGAAGGACACCTGTCGAGGGGAGAGGTTTTTAACATGGATTTTGACATTTGAGGTGGATTTTAATAAAGTGTTTGAATTTGCTGAATAAACAGAGAACTTTCTAAGAGGGCTTCTGGCCAGATGGACCTGCAAAATGGGAAAGATTGGAACATTTGGGAAAATGTAGTGAATTAAAATATACTATCAATTGGTTAAATGTATTCTTTTTGATCCTGGTTATAAGGTCTTGTCCCTTAAATACCATTTATTAGATTCAAAATGCAGTAGTTTGAGTGTCTCTCCTCTCCTTTTGTTTTGTCACTCTTTTGTGTGGAATGTCAGTGAGCAGAGAAAGAGAGTAAAAGGCTTTAACGGGGGAAAATAAGGGTTCAAGGTTAGTAGATAACCCACCAGATAAATCAAGTCCCACAGAGATCTTTAAGTATGTGTCTGTCATTGCTGCTTGTACACTGTCATTTTGTAATGTAACTAATTTGCTTACTCTTAAAATGATAAAATTTAATGAAATTATAATAAAGTACAAAGTGCATTTTATTGTGCAGTTGATGTGTGTTATAAAAAGTATATACATATATAAAACTAGAATTGTTAAAGTTTCATGTCTGGCAGAAAAATGAATCTGTAAAAAGATCAAAATTTATTTTTGTCTTTGAGATTTTGTAAGAAGAAAATGTTCATTTTCAAGTAAAATTTTCTATTCATGTTCTTAGCAAAGAAAAAAAGAGAACTTAAAGCCCATAATTCTCTATTTTTAAAGCATCAACAGTCTGGAAATGTTTAAAAACATGAGATTTCCAGTACAGCTTTTCGCCGGCATTTAAATTGAACTTTGCATTGGTACTAGCCATTACTAGTTAGCAGGCGGCGACCGTATCCCCAGAAGCAGCAGAAGGCAAATATCAAGCCACAGCTGCTGCGAACCCTTCCTGGTTTTAGTCTAGGGTCACTTCACCTCCCCAAGGTGCCTAGACTGAGGAGTGAGACTCCGTGTCCTTATAGACCACCTCAGCTTCCATGACCTATATAGTATATTCAAAATGCCATTGTTTTGTCCACATTATTACTATTTATTCATTGGCTTCTCCCAACTGATGACAGGATATCTGTGTGATAATCATGTGACTAGCACATAACCCTTTACAGCTAACATCGTGCAGCTCATGGGATTCCTCAGACTGAGATTTACATGGAGAGGACGTATACAGACATACACAGAACAAGATGTGTCTCTATTTGCTTAGGAAAGAACTTGAGGAGGAATAGTGCTAAAAACCCAAAGTTCCTGAAATGTGGAGGGGAAAGGAAGACAAAAAATGAGTTTGTGGGGCCAAAAAAGAAGGCAGACATTACAGAGATACAGATAAGAATGCATGCCCAGACTTGATGAGTATAAATGTTATAACTTTTAGGTGAAGGATTGGGTTTTTTTCTCTGTTGACCTCAAAATTATTGAAAAAGCAGAATCTCATCTTTAAACTCTTAATTTAATTGAAACACACATTTTATTGGAACTTCCTTTATTTGATATTGGCATGGAGGTCATACAGAAAGATTAATTCAACACTTATATCAGATACAGTCTTAGAGAAATTTTGATATGAGATTAAATCTCTTCTAAATCTAATTCCAAACTATTTACACCATCTTAAATTTTTAACTTATTTTAGAAAACTAGCTGAATCACCATATTTTGTTTAATGAAAAGAAATTGTGTGCTCAACAAACCATTTCATTTTCATATTTTAAGTCTGGCTCTTTTGTTCCCATTAAAATGATTGAATATCAATCTTATTACTAAAAACCCTTCTGTTTCAACTACCTGATGTTTTGTAAAAAGATCAAAGTTCCTTCATAACCATGCCTGACTGTTGTTTCTTTCTGATGGTAACGTGTGAGAGCAGATATGTGTTGTGTGACTCAGAAGGTGTGGTGAAACAAACATACTGAGTGAGATCAAAGAATTGGCATTGAAATTGAAATAAAGAAAGAAATTTCGTGCTGAATTTGATACAACTGTACCTGTAAGCATTGCTTTCAGTAAAATTTCCTTAATAAAATGTCAGCCAAACTGGAATTGCTCATGGCTCTAAATTTGTGATTGCTTAAAACACTTTTTGACATCTGCATGATTACAACAGGATATCTTAGCAAAGATTCAATGTTTGGCTAAGCCATGCCCACTTAGAAATCTGTCACTTTTATTACATCTGACTCTTCAGTTATCTACATGTGTGTTAATATAGGTCTTTAGAAGTTGACAGCTCGTGGAAGTGAGATTATCTTAAATTGCTGTCAGTCCACCATCCCTTAATCTGTTGTTCTTGATTTATCCCAGTGGCTGAGAAGACCAAAGAGCAAGTGACCAATGTTGGAGAGGCAGTGGTGACAGGGGTGACAGCAGTAGCACAGAAGACAGTGGAAGGAGCAGGGAGCATTGCAGCCGCCACTGGCTTTGGCAAAAAGGATCAGTTGAGCAAGGTATGGCTGCAAACATTTTCTATTACATTTGTAGGCTTGTGGAATCCCGGTGCACTTTCAGGCAAGACACGAGGCAGGAATGAGATGCTTGCTTGGGGGAGGGCCAGCTGACCTTTCTTCATAGAAAAAGTACTACCTTTACATGTGTATTCTTCTTGGAGGTAATTCACCCAGATAAAGGCTGTGAAAACTGTACAATAATCGTGATTGTTCTATTTTCTGGAGAAAAGTTAGTGAAATGAGCAATGTAATAAATGCCCAAATGAACAGTGACCTTTCAGAAAGAATGGGTGCTTTCATGTTAGCTATGAATCTTGGAATTTCTCTGTTGAAAGATAGCAGATGCTTTGTGCCTGATCTCTAAATTTTCAAAATGAAGATCTTTTACTTGATTTCTTTGTAGTGACATCATCTCTTATTAAGTGGCTTATTTGCTTACTGCATAAGGGTTCGTTGCCAAATATGTTTGTGGAAACTGAGAGACTTAAGCTATGTTACCAACCAGAGGGCATGGTTTTAGGGTGATTTTTAGAATTTTCAGAATTCTGACTTTGCCTTTCTTGACAAATATGAGACTCTAGGAGGATTATTCAGAAGATATTATGACATTCATTTTAAACAAGCAACAGAAATGAGGGGTGAACTGGAAGGTGAAACTTTACAAATTTCATGACCACAGCAGCAGAAAGCTTTTTGCTTTTTCCCAGCCACAGTGGCCTCCCTGCTAGTCCTTGATCACATCACAAGTACTCTTGCCTGGGCTCCTCCCTCTGTCCGGAAAGCTCTTCCCCAAGATCATACACTTGTCTATTCTCTCATCTCTTCAGGTCTTTGCTAAACAACACCTTCTCAGGGAGGTCTACCCTGACCTATTGAAAATGGAAACCATTTTCCTTACTTCTGGGGTTCCTAATTTCCCTACTCTTTATTTTTTCCTTTTTTTTTTTGTTTGGTCAAAACATGTATCATCTTTAAAAATAATCAATAACTTACTTGTTTTTATGTATGATGTTTATTTTATTTCTCCCCTTCTGAAATACAAGTACTTCCTGAGGTTAGAATATATTTAGTTTATTCACTGATGTTTTACAAGTATCTAAGAGAGTGCCTGATGCCTAGGAGACAATTAAGGAATATTTATTACATTAAGGAGGAAAAGAAGGAAGGAAATAAGGGATAAGCAGAGTGACTTTTATTTCTGTGTCTTTAATAGTTTTACGTGCGCTACAGCAACCTTGGTTATGCAACCATTCAAAGTTATAACCAAAATATTTTGGAATAAATATCCTGAAAACTATAAGAAAATATCTTTCTTTGCTGACAAACTGCTCTGGATTGTTTTTGTTTGATATAACTGTGTGAAACAGGCCTACCTTGATGAATCATTAAAACAATGGTAATAAAAAGAAAGGACTAACAGCCTGTGACGTACTGGGATTTTTATCACATGTAGTTGCCTTGTCTGGGGCAGTTGATGCTAATTGTGGAAAAATCCGGCCTAGGCTTCTGGTGGAGTTCTCCAGCTAGTACTTGAATGTGTGATTGGTGTCAGTAGTATTCCTTTGTGCAGAATATGCTTTTCAAACAATCTTATTACTCAGGCCAATAATTATACTAGTTTCTATTGTCCATCTGAAATGATAATTCTATTTATAGCTTTATTCCATTTCCAAAATTAGGAAGGACTTCAGATTTTAGTACAAAAGCAATTCATGTGTTTTTTGTCCCAGATCTTTGTCAATCTAATACAAGCTATGGACCCTCTTCCCAGAAAAATGTGCACTCACATACACACACCAAAGGGCTTAGTGGGATCTTGTAAGTCCATCAACAGAGCCCATGATTTAGAGCAATTTCCTGATTGTCCAGATGAGGAAATCTACAAAGGGGAAGTAAGCATTCCAAGGTCATATAGCTGACTGAAATAGACTGAATACAAGCAGTGATTTTTCTATTCACTATGTCACTTCCCCAATCCTTTCCTCAAAATTTACCTTCCTTTTGGGTTTTTAGAAACTGAATTATGGACAGCCAGATGATTTAACTGGGAAAATTTCTTGCTCCAGAATATTAAGAAAACAGAGAAACATGTACCATCCCCATCTTGCCCCCATTTAAGGCAGACAATATACGTTGCAAATAAGACATGAAAATATTTCATTTCTTACAAAATTGGGCTTGCTTTTTATCCTTCTAAAATACTGCTATTTTTTTTTAGTATTTTAAAGCAGAAATATAAATGATGTAGCAAAATTAACCATTTGGAGATATTTCTCTTATGGGTACTTACAGGTTCTTCCAAATTTCTGATATGAAAATGAAGCCATAAACCTAGAAATTGCAGCATAGTTATAGCAAAAAAAAAATTGAGCTGGGAGTTTAAATGGCTGATTTTCATCCCTGCTCTGTCACCAACAGTCTGAATGACCTTTTGAAGATTTCCTAAGACTCTGTCTTATATAATGAGGGATCTATCCTAGAAAATTGTTAAAGCCCAATTTAGCAATAAAGCTCTGAGTTTCTATAATAACTCAGAGAAGATGCTAGTAAACTTTCATTTTGGTCACATCTATGAAATGCAAAAAATTCTAGAGTTTAAACAAAATTATTGAATTTGTTCATTATGAAATTTGAAATAATTTTGTCAAACTCTGATCAAAGCAATTCTGGTGAATGGAAATAAGCAGTTTATTGTTGCTCTAACCATTTGTTAATGACCCCCATTTTGACACTCATTATTCATTCAAGAAATAATGCTTGCTCACTCTGTGTCCAGGAACTTTGCTAGATATTGAGGTTAAAATGATGAGAAAACCATGCACTGTTGTTTTCTTCTTTGAACTTATAGTCTAGTGACAAAGAGCAATAGTAATCATCTAATCACCACACAATGTGTGTAATTATAAACTGTGATAAATGCCATGGAGTACATAATGCCAAGAATATCTCAAAGGAGACTTGACCCAGCTACCTCAGGGTC